TTGATTTTTTTGTCCTTTGCCAACCACCAATCAGTGCAAAGATGTGTCTTCTCATCACATCCCACCACATGGGATTGAGATGTCTAATCAAAAACTGGTGTGAAAAGCAAATTTGAGAGAAATCTTTTGATGCTGCACATTTTTGAACCTGTGAACCAGTAGTGATATTTGCTGTGCTGGTGTGTTTTTTTCCCCCCTGAGAGGTCAGGCAGTCACATTTGGAAGAGTATCCTTATCAAGATGAATAAGTAAACTTCTATGAAGCTAATGTTTGTATGATCAGCTTCAGCACCAAGAAGAGAAAGTCAAGGTGATCAGCTTGGAGCATCTGGTAGGCTGTGAGTTTTAATTTGATGTAGAAGGTTTCTCTTTGATTTATAGTTCTCAATCATTCATGGGAGGGAAAGATATTTAAGATTATGATAGATTTTAGGGTTATAGGTTAAATGCATGAGAAGATATAAGCATTTAGCAATTCTGACTTAAATTCATCAACTCTGAAATGTTTGAATTGAACGAGTGTTACTAATTAAACCTCTGTCATGCAGTCATGCAGTGACCGGTTCTGCACATGAAGAATGATTAATACATTTATGATTTTTATTATAGAGATGGATTCATTCTAAATGCATGACAAATATTTCACAATGATTTATTACCAACTTAAGTTTTGACAAACTGTGATATAAATATCTCAGTATCTTTATTTTACAAACACTTTTATTTTTTAACAATTTTTTCAATTCTTTATGAAAATGACTCAGATTTTATATCATTTGTTCAAAAGCAGGGGAAGAAAATGGCAGCATTCCCCAAGGCTTATTTAATAGTTGAATTTAAGTATTTACTCAAGCTGTACACTAGTAACAGGGTATGTGAAGTGCCAATTCATGTAAAAAGCACAGTTTTATTATCTTTAAAATAATAGAATTTGTATTTCTGTAAAATGCTGCATAGTAGGTGTGTATGGATGCTGTGATGACAAAAAAACAACACTGTTCTCCATCATAGGGACTGAGCTTTTTGTTGGTCTGTCAGAAGGATAACTTAAAACATTTTTCCATTGAATTCTATGGCTGTCCTAAGGCCTTATTTTTTTGTTAATATTGGCTTTTCTTGGCCACTAAAAAAAAAATATTCTCACTGCGATACAAGATTCTATTTGTCGAGAGTTTTCAAATGATCCTCTATCCTGGTATTAGAATCTTCACATCTTTGTATTTGAACTCTGTACCTTTGCAGGCACTTAAACACTGCAAACCTCCCCACATATCTGTCTTTATTTCATATGTCCATAAAGTAAACCCACTGTATCAGCTGTAAGTAAGGGATGCTTGTTCTGGATCAATAAAGTAGATATAATATTGTTCTCTCAATCAATCAATTTCTATTTGTATAGCGTCAACTCATAACAAGTGTTATCTCGAGACACTACAAAAAGCAGGTAAAAAGACCTTACTCATTGTTATGTTACAAAAAGCAGGTAAAAAGACCTTACTCATTGTTATGGTACAAAGACCCGGCCTATCCATCATGAGCACTTTAGCATTTAGCACTTTGTTCTTCATTGTTATGTTAAGGATTTGCACCCTTTTAGGTTTAATGGTTTACCTCAAGTGTCCCTCCGCAGCCAACAGCTCCACCAATTAAAACTCCTTACTTTCTTGTTTTATTAGAGATCTGTTGTGGCAAAAAAGAGCGTACGGCCATGAACACTCCCTGTTCTCCGAGTACAACATTTATACTTCATACAAACAAACAGTTAGTGAGGTTGTGCTGTGTGCCAAATTAAAGCACTTTCAACCCAACTGAAACTAAAGCTCCTGTTTGTCCCTGATGATTCAACTCTGTCTTACACATGTAAGCCACAAAACAAGCAGGTGATGTGTTTTTGTCTTTAGGAAGTCTGTAATTATATGTTTATTTGGATATTATTAACCCTGGCTATGCTGGGTTCACATCTGCAGACTGTATTCAAGGGGTAAGTAACAAATCATGTCACCCTTTTGTTTTTGTTCCAGCAGTTATTTTTATTGAAAGAGGACTTGTACTTGATCTAGATTTCTGATTGATTGTTCTGTTTGCCAGCAAAAGACATCCTTGTATTATACTGCATTGTTTTAGCACGGCATTACAAAAAATATAAAATAAAAATTGTATTATATATCATTGCCATGTGCCGAGCAATCAAACCTTTTCTGTAATAGATCTTTCTGGGTGACAACTTTCGTTTGTATTTCAGGACTAATGCCTTTAGTGACATCACCTACATTTCCTGTCAAATTGTGGGAGTTCATCCAGCCCCTGAAATATGCCTCTTTATGACACAGTGTTTTATATTCACTGGGTAAACATCTGAATGTGAAGGCATTGTATCCCTGTACATGGCTGAGCTGAATCTTAAAGATGTGTTCATGTGTATTTCCCCTGTCTGTGTTTTATAGTATGACACACACGTTCTCATGTTATAGATTGTGTAGATTATCAAAGGATTAAAGGCCTTTTGTACATGCCCTATCAGTAGTTGTCTTGCAAGTGAAAGTTATGTCAGCCTCTTCTGTTGTCTTCCTCAAACACACTGGGGGAATCTTTATTAAAAATGATGTCTTCCTTTTTCTTTGCCTTTTTTGTTTGAACTTCTCTAGAGTAAGCATGGGAGTACGATGTATGATCACGTCGTCTTTCAACGACCCTTCTGTAAACGATGAAAATGTCACTCTGAGAATTAGTGTACAAAAACACTCCTAGAGCTTCTTTCCACATCAGATGAATACATGTGGGATGAAATCAATCAGCGGCTTCATGCTGTGGGAACAGAAGATGTTAATAAAGTTCTTTCTTTTTTCAGCGTCAAGCCGGCTTCTTTGCTCATTTGTTCTGAATAAGGATGCAATTGTGTCTGTGTGTCCTCCAGGTGCCACCGGTTGAACAGACAGAGCCGATCAGAAGTCCACCAGCTTTCCCTGCATCCATCATGCTGTCCCCCACTGCCATGCCTCCAGGTGGAGCTCCTTTTATCCCGTCAGAGTTTGACCTCGCAAAGTTGCCTCACGGTGAGCTTCCTTTCTTTTTGCTGCCACAATACTTAACTTCCTATGGCGATCAATAAAACCTTATCTTATCCTCTTTTGCAGCAGGAAGTCTAAATCCTCCAGAGAAGTCGATAAATGATTCTGTAGGAGACAAAGGCACACCCTCGGACGCCTGCACTGACAACCAGCTCGGGTCTCCTACCGCACCAGTCATCAACCTGCCAGGTCCAGGCGTCATGCCAGGTCCCCGACCAGTTATGCCCCCTTTGCAGCCTCCCCCTGGTATGCCAAATCCTCACGTACCTCCCTTCCTCCCACCCCCAAACATGTCACATATGCCCCCTCAAATGATGCCTGGAGGACCAATGTTTCCACCAGACAGGTTCCGAATGCAAATGAGCTTCCCTCCTCGTGGACCTCCTTTCCATCGACCTCCCCCTATGGGACCAGGAGGTATGGATGACAGAGACGGAAGGCTTTTCCGAAACGGGGGGCCAGGATTTTGTGGGCCCCCTTTCTCCAGAGGGAGGTGGTAGGGTTTGGCTGGAGTGATGGACCTGAAAGGAAATGAAGCTGAACCACTGTGGAAGACATTGTTCAATTTCAGAACTCCTGGTTCAGTGGGCAATGATTCGAACATTTGAGACTTTTTCTTACACCACAGGAACATTTTCTTAGGTTGAAATAAACGATGAAACAAGACGAGATGTTCTGAATGTTTTCTGTGCTTCTTCTAGTTCATCAGAGACAAGACTGCTTGCTGTGAATATTGTTCTTGCTTTTAGCCGTTTCCTATCTTTTTTGTATATTTGAAGATGTGAACTCTATGCTTAAGTCTGTAGCTTTGGTAGTTGCATTGTAGGAAAGCTAACAGACAGTCTGTATTTTTGACATAATAACCTATCCAGAATTTGTGTTCTTAGAATATTATCGTAAAATCCATAGTACATACCTTTGGGGTATTTTTTTGTGTTTACTAAAATGCCTTTTTACCAAACTGATGCTTAGCTCCTCAGCAGAGAAGTGGATTTCATTTAACACAGGAGGGATTTCATATCCTGCCAGTAGAGGGTAGAACAAACCCTGTTACTATAACCAACCTCTGTTGTACATTAAGGTCACACCTTGTAGAATAATGTGCTGTGAATATTAAAAACAGGAACTACCATTTGATGTGTTTGAGGTGTTTTTTTTTTTACTTTTGTTGATCAAACTCACACGTCATTTCTTTGTAAGGCAACAGACACGGATTGATAATTATGTATGACTGTAATGTTATAGGAGTTCGCAATGATATTGGATATAATTGCAACACAAATCTGTATTATTTTAGTCTGAAATGTATAAATCAGATGTGCCACTAACTAAGAGCGTCTATCTTGTCTCATTTGCTCACAGACAGACATCACCACAGTATTAATATGATTTATTATGGTTAACATATCTCCCCGTTTGACCACTATTTTAGCCACATTTGCATCTCCCGCAGATATTTCATGCCGATTTGAGGTGACTCGCCGCTGATTGGCTCGGATAAGAAATAAGTGGCACTCCTGTGATCCACTTGCACGCCGTCTCCAAGGAAGCTGGGCCCCGCCCCCTCTCAGCGGTGTGAAACAGCACGCATGGTCCGCGGACAGGCAAGGCAGGCAGGCAGGCAGGCAGACCTTGGAGAGGCGAGAGATGAGGATGTCTTAACACCGGCGTGTGAAACATGCAGATTTTAATGTCAGGATGGACACAGCAAGAACGGAGGAGCGGCGGTGACAGGTATGTAGGGGACACCGGTAAGCATGCGGCCTAATTTATTATAAGGAATAATAAAAAAAAAAGATCGATGTCCGAACATGTTTCCGCGTGGTCCTAGCGCCGCCTGTTCGCATGACCGCGTCACTCAATCATACAAGTTTATCAGAGGTGACAGCTGATACCGCACTGAGGCGGCGACACGGTTCAGTGGACGAGTCCGACAAGCTTTCTCATGTTCACCGATTGTCGCACATCTGGTGTCTGGCTATTCAGTAAGACATCTGGTGTTTTTTGGGGGGTAAAAGCAGCAGGAGTGACGGTGCATACAGCAAGGGGTTTTACGTGCATGCCCAGACAGTCATCCTGCACAGCAGCCCTCTGGACAAATGTGCCTTCTTCTCAGCATCAGAATGCAGTTTTAACCCGACATGTAGGAAAAAAACGGACAGAGGAACATCCGCATCACCTCGGAGGTGTTTGAACGTCTCTGTGGTCATTTCTGCTGAAGGGGCGTGTGGCCTCAGTGCGGTAAATTGTTGCATGAAGCCAGTCATTCTAATCATGCTGGTTCCATCTCTCTGCCTTGTAAACAGAAGATCCGGTGCTTCTCCTGTGTTTACACCGTGCTTTAGTCACCGATCATGCGCAGGTGACTCGACTGAAAGGTAATAGCTCATTCGTACAGCTGCTTAACTCCAATGACCTTATGGTGTCAAGTTTGTTGCAGCGTCACTGCCACAGTCCGCTGCTGTAATTGGTGTCTTCCTGTCCTGATACTGTTGCGCTGTGATAAACATCCTGAACTGGCTGGTGTCTAAAGGGGACTCTCAACTGATGTGAATGTGCAATGCTGTGAATTTAGTAGATGGTGCTGCATCAGATGTTTAGACGTCTTATCACACCATACATGTGACCAGTGTTTTTTTTTATTCAGTCTCTGAAAAATAACATATTCTGAATTGAAGCAGACAGTTGGAAGCTGATTATATAAGATATTTGAGCGATAGGCCTACAATCTGTTGTCAGTTGTGTTTTTATGCGATGCATGCTTTTAAATGAAATGTAATTTTCTGTAAGGCGCAGTTTTTTTTTCTTGGTCTGCAGCATGTTGATTGCAGTTTGACTTTTCTTCAAATAATCATTGAAAAAAATACTTTATCCAGGGAAATAAGACAAACATATATCCATGCATTAACTGCTAGTCTGCTACAGTATAGTTTATAGGAAGCACAAGTGTAAAACTGCAGTTGTTAAAACCCTTAAAGTGATAGTATGCAAATCTAATCATGTCAAATCCAATCCCCATGGACTTGAAGGGAGAAATTAATAGTTCATTTCTTCACGTGTTTGACTTTTTTTGTGAATTCTTAAAGTAAAGAGTTTCCCAAAAGGAAAAGTCTTACAACACTCCCAGAAATCTCTTAAACCGCAGCATAATCCACTTTGTATCCGTCCTAATGCTCAGCGTGTTTCCAATCCTATAATTTGCCTAAAAGCATTGCTTCTGTCCTCATACTCTTCCTGCTCAAAGCTCCTGAGCTCTAATAGAAGGTGTCATGGAGACATTGACAGAATTCTTCCATTTTCAATGTATACAGTATGTGTGGAAGCTATACAGTTCTTTTATTGTACAGTGCTAATGTAAACTAGTTTTGACTTCTTCTCAGAAATCTGTCACACCATCCTGCAGCGTTCACGCCAACAGAAGCGTTAAAACATGCAGCTTCCTCCAACATTACACTGAAACCAATTTGTTTTCACAGCGGTGGTTCTAATGCAGTGGCCTAATGAGAAACTGCACTGTTATTTGGGGCAAAAAAGTTTATCCTGGCTCAAGTTTTGCAACACGGAGAGCTAATCAGATTAGATCTAATTCACATTTGTAACTGAGAACTTTGTAGTTTGAATGAAGTTATTCTGCTTTTTCGGCTGTCAAAAGTACCTGCTTTATCTTCTCAACACCCCCTCCAGCAATTTGCTTTTTAAACAAACAGTTTAATTTTTTTATTTTAAAAGCTCACTGATTCATTGTTTTTTTTGTGGAATTAGGCACAGTCAGTGTTGATAGTCGGAAGATGCTGTTGAATTTGATTGGCTTAATCTAATTTGGAATTTCGATCTATTTTCTATATTGTTCTCTTGATGTTTTAAAGGATGAAAGTTGAGATTATCTTGTCAACCTGTGGAGAGTGTTTCTGCAGTGGTAACGGAACCTGCATGCATAACTCAAACAGCAATCTGAATGCCTTGTCTGTGATGGAATAAACAACCTAGCCGTGGAGCATCCGGCAGAATAGCCCCAGCGTTGAGTGATGTGTCTTCAGGGTAGTGGTGGTAACCCGAGTACACCTGTGTGACATGCCTGCACAGAGACCTCACCCTCCCTCTCTCTCTTATTGTCTGCCTCTGTGTGGTCGAGCTGTGACTAGTTTTTACTCCCCCCCTGGCTGCTGTCCACACTCTTTAACTCTCCGTCTCAAAGATCTTAAATGTTAGCCCAATTTGAGGCACTGTAGCGACTTCAGCCACACATGAAAGAATGTCTGCACATTCATATGGTAATGCGTTGGCTTTTTGTACAATCCATGACTTTGTTTTCCATGCGTGTACAGCGATGTACAACCAAACACAGTTGATTTCTTCAGATGCGCATAATTTAAACCTCAAAAGTGCTCTTTGTGAATTATTCATTTCCGTCCCACTTACACATAGTGCTTCATTCCTTTTGCAAAGTGGTGAAAAGTAAATACTGAAGAGAGTCTAGTGTTTTGCTTAGTGCAAAGTGAATAACATACTGAACCCAGTGTGATAACATTAACACATACCATTCATTCCAACACATACTATCTGATGACTGCTGTATTCCCGACGGTGCTTTGTGCTGTGGTCAAATCAATACTTTTATTGTTAATAACATTATGATAGCATGTCTTTAAGAAGTGTTTGAAATCCTTAAGGGTTAAATAACTTGAATCAAAGGACTGACTTAACTTGGCTTGACGTCTAACCATATGTTAGATAAGTAAATAAGAAGAGGAGGTGTTCTGGGGAAATATTATATGGAATAATATATGGAAGTATAGAAATTACACCACAGACATAGAGCTTGAAATATTTCCCAGGAAACATGTCATCCTGCTAAGTGGCTGATTTTTAGGTATTACAATAAGAGCACTGAGTTCTGCCAAAGCCTCAGTGGCATGCACACAAGTCTCCAGATGTGGTAGGAAAATGCCATCTGAATAACCATTATTCTGCACCTATGGTCTGATGAAATGACCTCATCAGTACTCAAGTGCAGTTTACTTGTATTCACACTGAGCAAAGTTGTTTAAAGATTTGACTTAACTCTGGGCCTCCTTTTAGTCACGTTGAATAAATCATATTTGCTGAGGCTGAATAGATGCTCTGTTCATAAAAAAGAGAGATCTCATGATTCCGTTGTTGTTGTTTAATTTAATTATAGAAATATGAACCTCTGCTAAATGCTTCATCTGATCTAAATTTGATTGTAAATGATTCAGTTGATTTATCTTTTATATCTTCAAACATATGCTGTTTTCAGCCTCTCAAATCTGAAAATTTGCTGGTCTTCTACTTTAGTGTTCAATTATTTTTGGTCTTTTTTTTTCCTTTTTTTCGCCCTAACATGTTTACAGGATGTATTTAAGAGGACAATGTCCCTCCCTTTCATTACAGCTGAAATATGACCATTTGAATCACATTCTATAAAACCCTCTAGAGTTTGCGAGTGGTCTTCTCCCACACAAATCCTGTAATGAAGCGGCCACATTGTGTAACAGTGTTGATGTTGCAGCTGTGAGTGGTCTTCTCTCTTGTTGAGTGCAGTCTTCACAGGCTGATAGCCAAGTTAGTCTTGTGAGGATTATCAGCTCTTTTTCTGCACAGAACAACTCTGTCCTTATATAAGAGGAAGATAGACTTCTTGTTGCAGCCATAATTATGCAAGAAACAATTTGGTCAGTCCTTTTTTTCTACTATATGTATATCAAATAATAACATGACATTGTATTTAAGAGTGTTTTTTTTTCTAAATCAAGCAGTCTTTGTTCTCTTTCCAGCTCAAATTGATTGATGAAGCACAACTATGCTTACCTTCAACCCCTGTTTACATCCATGTTGTATTGAGTTACAGACAAGAGCTCGGGGTTCCCTTGTTCCTCTGACAGGATATCTGTCTCCATTAGAGAACACTATTGATGTGCTGTTGTATCAGTCTGTCTTCCACCATCTTTGGAAAGTTGAAAAGAGGATTCCAATTGTTCTGGCTCATCAGCCACATTGTTCACATCTGAAAGTAAAGTATCATCTTCATATAGACCATGTTCTGCTAAGCAGGTGATTTGCTAAATTTTTTAAACCCACACTTCTGTGTCACACATGTATTTGGAAAAAAATAGATGTACACATTTTTCTCATGAGTTCATGATTGCAGAGGCTGAATGTTGCCACATATTCCTGCATCTGACAAAGTGAGGTCATGTGTGATGAATTCATGATGTGCTGACAGTCAGCATAATATGGAAAAGCACCTAGATTGCTTGCCAAGATTTGATCCCAGATGCTTTCGAGAGCACACACCCCCCCCTTGTATTGCTGCACGTAAGAGTGACTCTGCACTTCATGCGGTGTGAGAAAAATGTTTAGTTGTGCACTCTATAAAACTTGGACAGTATCAGTGATGTCATTGGTTACAGGCAGGGAACTTTGAATGATTGAGAACGGCTTATTGAAAATGCTGTCTTAACCTTACTTTTGCTCAACCTATAGTAACAGTCAAAGAGATGGAGTTGAGGCAGGCCTTAAGGCTCGTGCGAAACATCTGCCTGCATATCAGTCAGTCATATCAGTCACCCCTAATAATGCATAACTCTTAATAATATCAAAACGGATTAGTTATTCAAAATAATTCAACCAATTCCTCTCCCAGTACAGTGTGTGCTACTAAAGGCATGGACTATTTGTACCAGCCTGTAAACATGTCTATTTCTGCTGTGGAAATGAGCATTTCTTTTAAATGGGTGTGCATGTGACCTCTAGGGCTTTTGGAGCCAGCCTCAAGTGGACACCTGAGGAACTGCAGTTTTTTTTTTTAAACTTCCGCCTTTGGCTTCACTTTTAACACTGTAGGTTGCCGCTTTGCACCAACAGCAAGGGCTCTGAGATCTGTTCCCCCTTCAGTAAAAGCTTGGAGCAAGCAGCTCACTGCTCTGGAAACATTATGTATTAATTTCACCTTTCAAGCATAATGAACGTGTGGGTGTTCTCATGAATTATTACAAACCTTAATGAATACTCTGATCACATTAAAAAACAAGTAGGCCAAATGCTGATGCTCTCACCTTTTAGAAACAAACAATTTCTCCCAGCAAATTGAGCTTTTCTGCAATGTGTAGACTCAAGGATTCATAGCCTCTTTTAGGTTGTTGTATTCTCCTAAAAGGAATATCTCAAAAGATTATCTTCTAGTTCTGGCTGGTTACTATTCTAAAGTAAGAGGTTACTGTCTATATGCAAAGGTTAGTGTTTTGTTTTCACTAGCACTCTGGTACCAGCTCTGCATAATGGTCATGGGATTTGGCAAATCCTCACAGACGAGGATCAGAAGGCATCTACAGAGCTTTGTTCCTCCTCCCTGTTCCAT